GATCAGCTTCAGCTGCGTTGGAGGGAAAAGTTCACAGTTTCTGAAATCTTTGTGTGGAGCAAATGTTAATAGCCCAAGAGTCATAATGCAAACCAAAAAGTGGTCTAAACCGTTTTGTGTCCATCTTGTATGCTTTAAAGGGAATCATGGACACATTTTGTCAGTACTAAAATTCCCGGCATGTGTATCAGATCTGTGGCTTTATGATCTGAAATCTACGTATTTGTTGAAAAGGTGATCTACCCACTGTAAATACACGCTATATTTGAACAGACAGGGATTGACTGTTAAACTGTGGATGGTATTGTATCAGCAAATTTTAAAGCAGTACCTATGACACAGTAATAGAGATAAGAATTATATCTTGTTGGTTTATGTCTGGAGTGAATAGTAGGCAGCATCGATGTCTAGTGGTTATAACAGAAAAGTGAAAGACAAATCTTGTTTGTATATGTTATTCTCTGATGTGACTCTCAACACAGCTCTACTGTGCCACAGTTTACTTATTTGTGTTCTGGTTTCTTTAATGCTGTTAGTTATACCTTAGTTAAATGAACATACATATACAAAATTCTTTATTTTCTCAGATGCCTTACCAGCCAGAAAGTTTGTGTAACAGTTAAGCATGAGACAGCAGATCCAGAGGCCTGAGTGCTGTTCCCAGATCTGCAGCTCTGTATTTATCAGTTTTCCTAGATGGGAAAGAGGACGAATACCTGTTCTTGCAATCCAATTTCAACTCCTAAAAATAGCCAATAACATAACAAATTCAAAAAGTACACTCATGTACATAGAAGATGTAGCTCCCCCTTTGCTTTTTTTCTTGACACATACAGTAAAGGAGAGATGATACAGAAGTTATTCCCACTGATGCTTTATTAGATGCTATATGTTATGGCAGAGCATATAGGGAGTAGAGCACAGGATGCAGCAGGTAAGCTTCAGTGTTGGACTTTATCTTCAGCAAAGAAGTGAAAGAAATCTCTTTAAGTGATGACCCAGCAATGTGTTTTGAAAAGTAAATAAAGAATGCTTGACTTTGAAGAGAAAGGATATATAAGGAATTTGGAAGTGAGATTTTATTTCCTTTAGAAGATATATAATTCTCCAATCTCTTGCAGTTCCTACATCTGTGGTTATTTTTTGCAAACTATATGCCTTCTTGTTACAATTTACTAAGTGAGAAATACGAATTTAATAATCCTGAACAACTAGGCACTCTAGAATTGCTAAGTACAGGAGAGCTAGATAACGTCGTACCTCAGTTTCCTCATCGGTAAAATGAGGAAAACAATAATTCCCAAAGTCACACGTATGGTTTGAGCATTAGCTTAATCCCACATTTAAGTGGTCAGGTGGGACAGTAATGAGCCACCTGAATGACCACAATGAAGGCTACATTGAAAGAAAAAACCAAAATTGATAGGCAAGGGAAATCTTAACTGTGTTGCTACCATAGTAAAAACTTGGTATTCTGAATCTTGAGTGAGGAAACTCACCTATAGCTACTACGTTTATCTATTTACTGACTCGGGTTAGGCTGAATAAAAAGATAATATTTTGCAGAGAAAATTAAGTTTCCCTGAACTTTAGCTACATTTTTGGAGGTGACAGTTTGACCTATATGACTCACAAAATCACGCGAGTAGGAAATTAGGACGTCAAAGCTTGTTTCCTGTTTGCAGATGGATATTGTTCTCTAACCAATACTAAATTAGGAATGGGACAGAGAAATGCAAATTAATGTTTCCCCTGGACTCAAATAGTAACATTTCACCCATAATTTGTTGTTACAAGGTTATGATAGTAAAGCACTGTTGCAATAGTACTGACTCTTCCAAGTAAAGAGAAGTCAGTACTTGGATATGTCCTGTGTAAAACCCTGGATGTAACGTTTTAATTGAAAATTAAGATGATGCAGATGGTCTGGGATGTGGTGCTTCTTTCTCTACGTCACTACTTAATCTCAAATTAAGACTTTTAAAGGGTACTAGGGTTACTATTTCAGGCTCAGCCAAACAATTGCCTATGGAACTTTTTGTAAGAACTGCCGAGTGCCCTGGCCACATCCTATGATGGTTCAATTCTTTCTCCCTTACAAACTCCCAATCTTCTTTTTGTGGGAAGAATTTTTTTCCCATTTCCATCTTAATTGCTGTGCAGCATTGAGCATCTAACACATTGCATTAAGGATGTGGCCTCATTACAGAAGTAGATAAAGTGGTTCCTGCTGTTGTTGCAGTATTTATAAAATACTTTGAATCTGAATTACACGTATGGTGTAAGGGCCCTATGTTCTCTTAATACAGCAGAACCAAATGCAGTGATGTAAAAAAAAAAAAGCCTCATTTTTGTTTGGAGAACATCTGTGAATGCATTTAACTCTTTTATAAAGAAGTTCTGTGAACTGCATTACTCACAAACCTTACATTTTCAAGTATATAGATTCTCTTTTAGATCTAGTCCACTCTTGAAAGTTATACCTGTCTAACATTTTTTAATAGGCCACATCAGGACAACATCACTGACTGTGATGCTGCTATTTGTAACTGATTGCAACAGTAGATTGTCAGTGTGCGCTTACTTCTAGTGTTGTAACAGGCAGGTTTCTGGATCCCACTAGTAAAACAAAAGATCCATATTCAGCAGTCAATGTAATTTTTGAACAATGGTCTGTTTCGTATAGACAAAACTGTACTGACATCATTCTACCTACTTAAAAATCATGCAGTCATCAGACATGAGATTTGGTTAATAACAGGATGACTAAAATTAGCATATTACATGCAATTTATTTTATTGAAAGACCCATCACACATAACTACATTAAAACCCAGTGAAATATAACTGCTTGAAGACCATAGCTTTATAAAATATCCTACTGAATTTGCAGTTTCTCTAGAATTACACAAAGTGCACCAAAACACACCAACATCATTATTTAGAAGAATAAACCTAAAGTGCAGTTCTACTCTGAAAAGTGACCACATAAATAGGGTGCTTTCCCATTAGAACAATCTGCTCTGTTTATTTAGAAGCACACTGGTTGACTTGAGTGCTGAAAATAAATCTTTCTTGCCCTCTATTCCTGTCAGTCATAAAGACAGCAAGCAAAAGAGAAAAGTAGATCTTGTCCTTTCCTACGTACCATCAATAATGTAGTTAACTTCAATCAGTTATGGCAGTTTGATTGCTAAGGTGTCACAGGGGGCATAATTTATCCTTTGGTACCTTTATTACTATTGATGATAAATGAACCCAGCCTCATTATCAAAGGACAGCGTAAGCTTGCCTGAGCTTTAGGGAAAAAAGTGGCAGACTGAGCACATTTGATGCAGGAACCACCAAAGAAAAAACCTAAGGATCCTTGATGCTACTTTCTGTCACAGTGCAGTTACAGATGCACTTCTAAGTTGTGACTTGATTTTATTACGCTAATGTCCTTGTAGATTCTCTGTAGACAGCCACCTTTACAGGCTGGAGCTAGCAGAACACAGATGTTCTAGTGTATGGTAGCTGCAGAATTTCATGTGGGGCTCCAAGTTTGCATGCCCGATGCTGCAGGTTTTCCTGATAGTGTCTTGACTCCTTTGCTGGGTTTTATACAAGCCTTGCAGGCCCTAGGGCCACCTGTGATGTTCAGTGTTTGGCTTCTGGCTTCCAGACTCCCCCTAAGTTCCTCGGGAAGACTACACCTCGGCCTCAGCTCTTTGGGGATCCCCTGCCCAGGGAAGGAGGATGACGGGTTGTCACAGTTATGATCCTGGAACATGTCCCTGGTTCTAGACTTGCCCAACAGCATGTAGGTTTCCTGGCCTGAGAGTCTCAGAGTGATTCTGCTGGATTTGTTGATCTGAAAAATGTAAACTGAGTCATCTTGTGGAGATCATATGAAAAAGCTGTTGACCCATTAGGTAGCATCTTGGAAACCTTGACATTTTTAATAAGGCACATAATCCAAACAAAAATGGGATGACGGCAAATAAAGGGAGGTAGAATTCTATCACCATGACGTTCACAGTGCCTCTCTAGTTCATGTTTACATAATACAGACAATATACCGTTAGATTCAAAACCAGATTTCTAGCAAAGAAAAACATTTCACTTATGTACAGTCTTAATATCCTACCATGTCTTCTCAACTCCAGTTACAGAAAACAATTCTGGCTATATACATTTGGCTCAAAAGTAAAAGCTCATTTATTATTTGAAACAAAGGGACGACTGTCTGAGAATCAGTGCAATGACACTATTATTAATTTCTATCCATTAAACCAGTTTCTGAAGTAGATCTGTCCTTCCATGAGAAACAGTGCTGAGCTTAACATACAACCCTGGAAACATGAATGGAAAAGTAAAGCGCAAGGCATTTCTGGGAGCAAATTGCATGACAGCGGACAAACAGGCTGTGTATTTGAAAGGCAGACAACTCAAAGCATGGTATATCTAGCACCACTTCAGCCAGGAGTAATTTTTTCCCTTCCAGGATAGAGCTAAATAATTTCTTTGAGGTGCACCACATGTTGGCAATTTTTTAAAAAATTATTTATATAGATTTACTATCAGTAAGTGGTACATTTTGAAATTAAATGGCTTTGTCTGTTAAGACACTGTAAGTTATTAAAAGTATTTCGGTTAGTATTTTATAAATAGCAGTCAGAGCAGTCTGATTTAAAACTAAGCAGAACATTTCCATTTGTTATGTTTGTTAATTTGTAGTTCTCATATGCAAGTGTGAATTCTTATACTTAGTTCACTGCACTGTGACAAAATGTTTAAACATGAAAATCTTACTGTTGGATTTAAAAAAGATTGTGTAGATCCAATTATTGAGTGCACCAAATCTCAACAGCAACTACATATGTACTAAAGCCACAGAATCACCCCACTATTTACTTTAAAAAAAAACAAACAAAAAACCAACCCCCAAACCCCACATTTTCCTGTACTGAACTGTAGCTTTTTTCACAGCAGAAAGGAAGTTAGTTGTATAGTGCCTGTTAGTTCCTGGAATCGCTTGCATGTTTCTGTAAGGGAGCCAAGACAACCCCAGCATTCCTGTCTTCACTCTCTGGACTATACAGATTATTTTTTTCTATGTATGCTTGAACTACATCAGGCACTAGGTAACGAATGCTCTGGCCCCTCCGCAGTGCTCTCCTAATCTTGGTGGAGGAAATGTCATTTGTGATCCATTCTTCCACAAGGTGAATGTTATTCTTGTGCTTCCACAAAATATCAGATTCATAGATGAATTTCTGAACGCTGTTTCCAGCCCTACTGATGCATACAAGGCCATGATTTTCCACAATTTCAGTGATGTCCTCCAACTTCCACAGATTGGGGATCCCAAAAGATTCCAGCATGTCACTTCCACAAAGCAGTTTAACCTGTGGGACACCTTAAAAAGAAAAATAAGTGAGAAACAGGGCTTGGTTTAGGCCACTAGATTTTAGCTAACTCGATGGGGACATTTAATTTCCAGCCTACCTCTCTATATCTTTGGTTAAGATGAGACAATGGAATGAAATAAAAAAAGATTCAGAGTATGTAATTTATAATTAGTAGCCTCAATACAGGATTTTTCTGAAAAAAAGTTATGGGAGTCCCTTTGTTCAAAAGGACTAGAAAATAAAGTCTAATATGCTTCTTTAGCCTTGGGGTGAATCAATCGCTGTGAGGATCAAAGTAAAAGAAAATATAGAGAAAATTCCAGAATAGCTAAGTATGAAAGGATACTGTAATGCTATTAAAACTTTATCTGACATTCCATAGAGTTACAGAAGAGGAGCTAACTTTTATGGGATAGGGGGCAGAGGGGATTACGTAAAAGGAAAGAAAATATGATCCAAAAAATAAAACCCCATAGACTGTGTGGCCTGACTTTAGGGGACTTTCTTCCATACTATGTTTTATAGGGAATCTAGAGAAGCATGCAGATAGAAACCACCTTAAAGTAATGGAAGCAAAATTGAGATTTGAGCTTCCAGTAATGTGGGTGGTAGGAATGTAGTAAAACATCTGTCAAGACAATGTGAAAAAAGCCTGCCTGATGCTGTTGGTCTTTTCTTTGAATACATTTACTTTAAAACACTATCAATTAAACAGTAGAATTCGGAAAGGTTCAAGGGAAGAAGTCACGCAGAAGTCTAGATTTGCTAATATAAAGGATTAAGATTGTCATTATGCAAGGCCATTCAAATTCTACATGAATACATATAATTGTACATGTTAAGCTACGCAGAAGTCTAGATTTGCTAATATAAAGGATTAAGATTGTCATTATGCAAGGCCATTCAAATTCTACGTGAATACATATAATTGTACGTTAAGCTAAAGAACAAAAATTAAGAACTAAAAGCAATAAGCAAAATAAATGCTACCTAAAATTACAAAGCCAAGCTATGTCTGTTGTATGAAGTTTTAAATTACAATTTAAAACGATCCTGTACCCAGATACATTTTGAATTTCAGGACTTAATCCTGTCCTTTCTTTCTTCAGCAACTTATAATATGATCCAAAATTCTCAGCTGTAACTACAGTATGGCAAAGTTCTGTAGGTAAAATGGATAGCTCAGACCTGTTTCAGTTCAAATTCCTATTATCTTGAGTATTTTTCATGTCCTATATATTTTCCCCTTAGAGTCGTCTTGTTACGAAGCCTACTGCTTTGTGCTGTTGGATCTCAGGGAATAAACTTATTCAGTGGAATCAGAACCAAGAACTAGCATCAAAAAAAGTTACTAATCAGTGCAATTCCCTTGAAATAGCAAGTATTGTTAAGCATTTAATTTGCAAACAGACTTAACTTTTTATATCTGGACTCTGATTTTTCTTTTTAACGGGGTCATGCCTATTTGGTTCCTGCTTCCTCTTCCGTCCTGGCTTTGTTAAAGGTATAGCATTCTGCAGACTATTAGGGGGATCAGGAGATAAAAGCTTTTGACGATGGTACCTGCAAAACAGATGTATTTTAGGTATTTTTAAGATGTAGGAGAATATAGGGAAGAGAATATATGGCCTACTAAATAATCTTTCACCACTTCCTCCTGCAGTATTTTCACAGACAATCCATCTAAGAACTTATCTGCTGGAACAGGGACTTGTGAGAGCTGGGTCATAAGACGGTCAAAATGCAAAGATTTCAAAGCAACAACAAACCAACTATAAGCTTGGTTTGTTTTTTTTTTAATAGAAATTCGTTTTAAAAAGAAGAACCTCAGTGAAGTAGCAGTGACTGAAAGAGTAAAAACTTAAAAAAATATATTTGTTCAGACAATTCTCATGCCAGCCTTTAAATACACAAATGGGCAGCATAGCGTAATCAGAACCAAATCAGGGAAGCTTGTGTAGCTTGTGTCTACCCTATTCTAGTCTCTTGTCCTTCCTTATTAATACCTTTTCAGCACAAAAATTGAATAAAGCCTAAGAAACAATATTTCTTAAAAATTATTCACAGGCTCATTTTTTGTACGTTTAGGACTAATGGTGCAATCTTTCATTTACAATGCTCATATACATAGTAATTCTGACGTCACTGAGTCTATTCATATGATTTGGAGTTAGCCTGCTATTATTCTAACTTGTTAGAGCTGACACCATTCCTTATCCTTCTATAGGTTCTTGGGACTTTTTAGGGTTTGGCTGAAGAATACCTTAAAACTTTGAGTGTTTCCATCCACTCACTCTGGCTGCTTTCCCAATCATCAACTTCCACCCAATCTGAGTTTTTTGTAGCTAGTTTTGCCATAGTTACTCGGTGATTTGCACTGATCAGACCTTTCTTCTTATATGCATCACCTACTGGTGAAATTATTCCTTTGATTACTTTGTATTTTCCTGTGGAAAAAACACATCACACAAGAGCATGAAAAGTGGTTGAGCAGATGTTACTTCCACTGTATTGTATTTAAACAATTATATAACCATTATTCACTGCAATCTCTAAGAACACCAATGCCAGCTCCGATAGCCAGCCCAGTGGAAAAGTACAGTACACTTCTGCCACTGTGCAAGGCAGCATAATTAAAGATTTAGTAAGATATATTAGAAAGATATATTCCTATAAAGAAAAACTATAAACCTCATGATTTAGCTCATTAAAATTAGTAATAAGCAACACATATGTAAGACTCTTCTCTCATGTATTTGGCCTACATGATTTTCTATGATACATAACACGCATACTAGCTTCAAGATCTGATTAGTATTTCCAAAAATACCTGTCACTGTCAAACAGGCATTCATATACACAAAATATTCACGTTAACATTTAAGTGTCTAGTTATCAGAGCTGTTTTGAAGGATATAAATTACCATCCTACCTGTTTCATGAAAGTAGTCTTTAGCGAGCTCAAATAGCCTTAGATGCATGTTGGTAATGGGATTGAAGGACCCACAGGCCAACAGTACTACTTCAGTCTTCTTCTCAGGATCTTCCATAGCCATTCCTCGCAGCTACAGAGCCAAGTGGAGAATGCTGGTGCTAGTTACCAGCCACTACAAAAAAAGACCAGATTAAAAAATAATTATTCCTACTTATTTGTGCTGCCAATAAGCAGAAGATTTCAAAATCAAATTGAGCACTGTATTTTCCTTCCATCAACATTTGTTCATGTGATACTGCATTATCCAATTTTTAAGAGATTAAAACGACTGCCTCTAGTTCTTTCTGGTTATCCCTGGATAGAGGTATGATGCAAGGAGTTGAGACAACAGTGGCATCATGTTGCAGATAATTCTTCTGTGGGGCTTCAGAAATCAAGGATGTAGAGAAAAGTGAGTGTGCTAGGAAGAAGACATATGTAATAGAGAAGTGAACTCAAATTTGCCTTGCCCATGTATTACCAAAGCAGCTGCAATTCCCTCCTATATGCAAGAGGAAACATCTTTAAAAATGAAATCACTGAAAACAGGCTGCTTGCCTGAAGAGAGGACACCGTACCGCTCACTCTGAAGAAAAGCAGCTCATGCAGAAAAACTTCATAAGGAGAGATTATTTGTCCTGATTGCAGGACAAACTTTATTAGAACTTCGCATTTTTTTTTAAGATGCCAATGCCAATCAACTGCCAAGAGAGACATCTGCAGGGAACTTCCTTATAAGTAACTTCCTTACTTCTAGTGCTTACAGGGGGGAATAGAACATCCTATGACAGTTCCAGTGCTGCTACTCTAAATTGCTGAGAGTCTGGAAAGAGCAAAATCTATAGAACTAACATTATATTTTATTAAATTCTGGAGGAGAGGAGGGTTAACATGTCTTTGTTCGGGATTTACTTACATTTTACATGTTCTTGGTATGTGAGAAGAGAGTGCTATGGACTAAACATGAAAACAACCAATCTACTTTGTGTTGCAGAAAGTAAGTGGTAGGTGTACCAGCAGAACAGATGATAGAAGAATAGTGAATTAAAAAAAGTTTAGTGAAAGCTGCAATTAAATACCAGGTGGTTTTTTTCCCTTTTTTAAAATACAACAGCACTGTTCCAATTTTGAACTTCAGTTTCAGAAAGCTGCTTAAGAATTGGTGAAAATAAGGAAATTTCACTACTTATCTTTTTCAACACTATATGGATTTTTGCTTCTCAGTGTTCTTTTCTTTCATGAGAGTATTCTGGCTTGCCAAGATGGTTTTCCCTAGGCTGGCCCTGAACAAATGAAAACTGAAAATATGTAACAGGCCATTCTCCTCCTGTCTGAGACATCCGTGTTGAGCACTGAATAGTCTGCCATTGTTTCTACAGCAGCATCACTGCCTGGAAAAATCCCACAAGGTCACCCTCACATTCTGTCTCCTTTACAAAGACGCTGAGTGATGTTCACAGCCGCCACAGTGGTGAGATATCATCAGAGCTAAATCTTGTAACAGCTACTATGTACTAACATCAAACAGGCCTTGAATAAAAGGAAGTCTCACAAGGCTTCGCATTTTGCAGGTGTCAGTACTTTTCTGTGCTTTCAGGAGTTTCATAAACTTTTAAAATATTCTTTATTACTGCAGAGTAGTTCAGCATTTGAAGGGTTTGGTATTTCTTGGAATGCAGCCTTCACCGGGGCATCAGCTAGAAGAGTTACTATGGGAACAGGCAAGGAAAGGAGTTAGACTTGCCTTTGTAATGCATAAAGCCCTACTTTCTACAGAAAGTGACTCATGCTGCAAATTTGAAAAGGCCTGATTTTCTCCTTTAAAAAAAAAAAAAGCAAGGGCAAAAATAATAGAAAATTTTAAGATGAAAATATATAGTGCCTTTCCGGGAGGTAGTCAGATGTCCTTTTTCATGCTGCTAGCTAATTTTACAATCTTCAGAAACAGGCAATTTTTGCATCATAAACTTACCTTGTAGCGCTTCATATCTGCATAGAAATTGAGAATATAAATATAATTTAATAGTTTGCACATACCCTCAGTCTCCTAATTTGCATTGACATCCTCTGTCTAGCACTGTTTTCACAGAAAACAGCTGCATGGTTGATGTGGAGAGCGGAGGAAATGACAAGAGGTATCATCACAATTACCTTCACTGTTATGTCATCCTTACAACCAACACAGCACTGTCAGAGCTGGGATCTGCTTTGTATGAAATGACCTCCATATAGCTCTAACTTTTTGAGGAAAACTATGCAATTTGCACATCCCAGGACAGAAAAAGACGACTAGTTTCCTGTGATGATTAAAGCCCAGCCGCTGCCTGAGCTGTATATGGAACTATGCCTATTCTTATTGTATAATAACATAAGTAGTTTTGATGAATTACGTATAATTTGGCACTGCTTGACACAATTCTAATTACTGCAGTTTGACCACAAGATCCAAACTAGCAGCCCAGCTCCTGCTATGCAGAGATGAAAGAGATCTGTATGCAGGTGAGCATTTAGTTTCACAAAACTGAGAACAGTCTTAATTAATTAATGCTATCTTATGCCAAATACTAAATGAAATATTAGTAAAACCTCTCCACAGAGACTTAGGAAGGGGAAACAAAGTAAAATGGCCTTCACTCAGATTTTCCGTAAGTGTAGGACATCCTGGATCATTCTCCCTTCTCCTTCAGAAGGAAGAATGAGGTGCCCTGTGATGTAGTCCTTTACAGATGTGCTCATATATGATCTCATCATGCTTATACGTAATCTTACCAATATTTAGTGTGTACTACTTTGAAGTCCTGCTAGTGCTTAGCCGGATTGGGCACGTATTTGCACTAAAAAACATCAAAGTATGCCTAGAGCAGGTTTTGGAATGGTTCTGAAAACCAACCTGTTCGTTTCTGTGGATAAGCAGGTAATTGTGAGTATGCTTTGGTCAAACTCATTTATATTTCAGAGGTAAATATTTATTAAACACGCTTATATAGCTGTAGAATACAAACATCATTAAAAGGTAAGTTTACGCGTGTAGGCTGTTGCTAAGCACGCCAGTTTTCGGTCCGTTTCAGCAACCTCCTCCCCGCAGCTCCACGCCGCGAGGCCTGCACGCGGGTTCGGCCCCCGAACGCGCGGGGTGCAGAATCAGGGCCCCGCCCAGCGAGTCACCACC